CTCCTAGACGGCTTGGTGGTGATCTCCGTCAAGCTGCCGCAAGAAGCTTGTGCGGCGCTCCCGTGAAGTGCTTGTGAGGGGCATGGTGCTAATTTTGTTAGAGCCACAAAGAGCAACTCTAGTAAAGCGTGTCATTGAGCTACCCTCACTCAAGGGGTAGGTTCTTGCGGCGCCTTCTAATGCGGGCTTAGCGGGTGATGCTAATTAGCCGTAAATAACCACCATTGAGTGATAGACACATCAACACTAGCGTGTTGGCAAACACGTGAACCTCGGGAGAAAAATCATCGTGTCAACCTTGTTCTTCCTTTGGTTTGAGTCCCCATTACACAAGCTTGCAATTACTTATATATATATCTTAAGCTTGTAGTAGTTAGTCTTGTAATTAGATAGCTTGTGTAGCTAGCTAATTACCTTCTTGCTTTTGTAGCATAGAAGTAGCTTCCTTGCGTGGCTAATTTGGTTTTAGTAACATTGTTAGTCACATTGCTTAGTTTGATGTTGTGTAGCTAAGTATTTGCATCATCATCTCTAATTAGGCGTTGGTTGCCTTGTTATTGAGCATTGCTAGTGAGCTTAGTTAGCTTTGTGCTTTTGCTTACTAGCATGTGTAGGAGCTCCCTTGTTACTTAAAGTACTAGTGGCATAGGTTTGTGTGACCTTGCTCCTAGAATTGTTTAGGAGAGTTCTAGCTAGCCCGGCACCTTAGTTGCTTTATTAGTATCTTTGCAAGGTGCTAGTGAACATATATAGAGGGGTGTAGTCTTGGCTAGACCGATTGTTTTAATTCCGCATTTATATCGGTTAGCCGACGCGATTAATTTTAGAAAAGACTATTCACCCCCCCTCTAGTCCGCCATCTCGACCCTTCAGTTGTGTCCTGCGGCCAACAGGACATGACTTGGTTATACTTTTTTCCTGTCCATGTCAATTAAGGACCGGTCGTTGCATATGGCTCTAGGCAAGTCATAGATTTATTGTCCCAAGCGCATACTTGGGTATGGGCGCAAGGAAGACTTGTTACTCTCTTGTCACGGATCCGGCTCTTTCCGGACCGACTGATGGGAAGAGGAGGTGGTGGAGGTCCTTGCACCACACTAAGTCCGGACTAAGGATGTGGGGGCTTGGAGTCCAAGTTTGGACGAGGACCTAGACACCCGAGACATGAGAGTGATGGGTTAGTCCTGCTTGTGCCTGGGGTACAAGCGGGGCGTGTGTTTTCGTGGCACCCAGCTGGACACATTGATTCGCGAATCGTCGAGAAATCCAGTACGGCTTGTCTGCGGTTTAGCACCGTAGTAAGAACTGAAAGTGAAAAAGGAGAAGAAATATAACTGATTGCTCAACTCTTGCTTGAAAAGTAGAACAAGTGCTTATATAGACTGGCTAGATGATAACTTAATACGGCTGATAATAATAATACATAAATAAGGACTCACTATTAGTATTGCTTTCTGCTAAAGAAAACCAGCAAACCCTAAAGCCTATCATATTCCTTGGAGTCGGGAAATTATTCCCATCAGGTAAGTCTTGCGAGTACATTGTGTACTCAGGGTTTATTTACCCCTGTTGCAGGTGATTCTTGAAGAGTATATTTGTGTGGAGGATTCTTCTGGTGGGCTCAAACGGATCCTCATCCCTATCACTAGATGTATATTTTTAAATTCCGCTGTTTATCATTTTCGCACTCTGGTATTTGGTATTGTAATAATATACTTTTTAAGAAACTCTGATGTATGAAATGGACAAGTATTGTAACTCGTTCTCATTATTGGATCCTTGGGAAAAATGTGGATCTTTCGGGTTCTCCCTTGGGGTGTGCCCGACGGATACCGCTCGTTGTAGCTTGCTTTCAGGGTGCTTAGTGTCTGGTGGAAGACGAGTGCCTCCGTAAGTGTGCTATTTCGGGTGGTTCTGCCACACTGTACATCATGAAGGTAAATTTGACTTTGCCCGTTTGCCTGATGACCAAGATGGATGAGGAGGCGTGGCTTTGGCACGCAAGCTTTGGACACCTCAATTTCAGGTCCCTACACGAGCTGGGTGCTAAGGAGATGGTGGAGGGTATTCCACTGATTTGGCGTGCAAAATAAATGTGTGATGGTTGTGCTCTAGGGAAGCAACATCGCACACCGTTCCCTCAGGCCTCAGCATATCGTGCAAGTGCTGGGCTTGAGCTAGTTCACGGTGACTTGTGTGGGCAGATCACGTCGCCCATGCCAGGCGGGAAGTCGTATTTTCTGTTGATCGTCGACGACCATAGTCGCTATATGTGGGTAGAACTCCTGGTGTCCAAAGATGAGGTGCTGGGGTACTTCAAGAAGATCATGACGGTAGCCGAGGTGGAGTCGGGTCATCGTCTCAAGGCGTTTAGGACAGATGAGTTCAACTCAGGTGCGTTTGTGACTTTCTGCAGTGAGTGGGGCATTAAGCACAATAGCACTACACCATACTCTCCTCCACAGAACGGAGTTGTATAACGACGGAATCAAACCGTTGTGGAGATGGCACGCGGCTTGCTTAAGTCGATGCGGGTGCCTGGCAAATTCTGGGGAGAAGCAGTGAAGGCGGCGGTGTATTTACTGAATCGATCGCCGACTAAGAGCCTGAATGGCAAGACTCTGTTTGAAGCCTGGTTTGGAGAGAAACTAGGGGTACGGCATCTACATACTTTTGGTTGTGTGGCTTATGCTAAACGGGTAGGACCTAGAGTGACAAAGCTTGTTGACAGATCAACTCTAGGTGTTTTCCATGGCTATGAGCCAGGGACAAAGGGCTATTGTGTGTATGATCCGGTGAATGATAAGGTAATGGTTACTAGAGATGTGATCCTTGATGAAAAGAAGGCATGGAATTGGGTGGAGGATGGCAGCAGGATCTGTGTTCAGGCGACAACACCCTACACTTCCACAGTTCAGTACCCAGACATTGTTCACGGTCCAGCAATAGGATCTGATTCAGAGTTGGGCGCTGATCCAATTTCTGCCGGTGTTCCGGCTTCACCTGCTGCATCAATTCCATCCGTCGGTAATGTGGGGGATACAAACACACCACCACACACTCCAATCTCTGGTGCCTCAGGATCGACACCACCAGTAGTCCCAATTCAGTGGGCAACCCCACCAACTGATGATTTTGCAGATTCTGATGGAGGGCCTAGGAGGTACAGGACCATTCCAAACTTGCTTGACACCACTGAAGAAATTCATGATATCAAGAAATTCATGCTATGCAAATTGAGTGATCTGCTAGCTCAGCATAAGTCCATAGACCTGAAATGGGTTTTCAAGGTGAAGAAGAACCCTGAAGGGAAGATTGTCAAGCACAAGGCGAGATTAGTGGCAAAGGGCTATGTTCAGCAACAGGGTGTGGATTTTGATGAGGTGTTTGCACCTGTTGCCAAAATTGAAACAGTGAGAGTTTTGCTAGCTTTAGCAGCACATGGTGGATGGGAGGTACACCATATGGATGTGAAGTCAGCATTCCTGAATGGAGACCTGTTTATGTGCAACAGCCTCCTGGTTTCATTGTTGGCAATGGTGAGAAGGTGCTGAAATTGAGGAAAGCACTCTATGGGCTGAGATAGGCACCTAGGACCTAGAATGCCAAACTTGAGATGGAATTGATTGCTCTTGATTTTGTGAAGAGTATGCTGGAACATGATGTGTATAGGAGAAGCAACAATAAGTCTTTTCTACTTGTGGGGGTGTATGTTGATGATCTAGTAATCACTAGGGCAGATGTCAGCGGCATCAATCAGTTTAAGCAAGAGATGAAGAAAAAGTTCAACATGAGTGATTTGGGCCTTCTGAGCTATTACTTGGGAATTGAGGTGAAGCAAGGAGGCGGTGGAATCACATTCAGTCAGAGCTCTTATGCACTGAAAATACTTGAGTCTGCAGGTATGTTGAACTGTAACCCATGTGCAACTCCTATGGAGGCTCGACTCAAACTCAGCAAGAAGATGGAAAATGAAGTTGTGAATCCTACAACATACAGAAGCATAATTGGAAGCCTCAGGTACATTGTCAACACTAGACCAGACATTGCATATTCGATTGGTGTTGTCAGTAGATACATGGAGGCTCCAAGCAAGGAACACTGGGCTGCTGTGAAGCATATCCTTAGATGTCTGAAAGGAACTGTTGGGTATGGCTGCAGATATGAAAGAGGCACTGAACTGAAACCCATCCTGCTTGGGTACAGTGACAGTGACTTCGCTGGTGATGTTGAAGACAGGAAGAGTACCACTGTGGTTGTCTACTTCCTTGGCAAGAATTTGGTCACCTGGACGTCACAGAAGCAGAAAATTGTGGCTCTGTCGTCCTGTCCAGCTGAATATGTGGCAGCAGCAGCAGCCACCTGTCAAGGTGTGTGGCTGAGTCGGCTAATTGGTGACTTGATGGGGACAAAGGAGGCGCCGGTGGAGCTGCTCATGGACAATATGTCGGCTATCACCCTGAGTAAGAATCCAGTGCATCATGATAGAACCAAACACATTGACACGAAGTACCACTTCATTCGTGAGTGCATTGAGGACGGCAAGGTGGAGGTTGATCATATCGAGACTGCGAATCAGCTCGCCGATATCTTCACCAAGGCGTTGGGGCGTGTGAGGTTCTTGGAACTGAGGGAGGCTCTGGGCGTCATCAAGTTGCAACAAGTTTAGGGGGTGATTTGTTAGCTAAATTGTTGCATCGTTATCATGTAAACACTTTGTTCATTCATCTGCATTAGCTAGGCTAGCAGGTAGCGCGTGGCTAGTGGCGTGCTTGGTCCACGACGCAGTCTGGTCAGGTCGGTTTGTCAGCGCCATGGCGTATGTTGCAGCACGTGGTGCGCGTCGCGGTGAAACGGCGCAGCATCCTGCATACGGCGTGGCGCAGGGGACTCGGAGGTTTATTCTGAGATCCCAGGGTTGCATTGTAACAAATAGGCAACAAAGAGAACCGAAAAGCTGCGACATTTGGCAGCGCCAAGATCCTATTCTCGCGTGTGTTTCATCTACTTACTCTCGTCGTGTTCACCGTGTTCTCGCCGGCGTCGCGTTCCGGGACCATAGCACCGCCTGGTTCCAACAGCTTTGCCTGTGATGATTCTCAGAACGTCGAGCAGATGGTGAACCTGAATGAATGTTTGTTCAAGAAAACTGCTGACGCCATTGCTGCAGCGTGCGTACCTTTGGATCTGGCCGAGGCCACGGCTGCCCATGACGAGCGACTCGAGATGGAGCTCCTCCACCGCGTCGCACACCTTCTCCCTCGGGTCACCCTAGTACATCTTGATCACCACGCACAGCTGTTCGTCGAGCATTGCAGCACAAACGATATCAGTATCACCATCTACATGCAGCTCGCATCGAACAGCACGCACGATGATGGACAAGTGGCGCGCGATAAGAAGCGCACCTCTTTCTGCCGGGCCACGGCGTTGAGCATGTCGAACACCTCGGGGTCCTCCGGCATGTCGTAGCGCTGCCTCACAGGTGGGTCCATGAGCTCCTCAAGCGGGATCAGCGCTGCCATCGATTCAAATTCAAATCGACCGGCCACATATGAGAAGCTACGGTGATGGATAAACAGATCGGAGGCCAATATAACGCAAGGCAATCGAGTCAAAGCTTGCGTCGTCGTGCGCTGCGGTGGGCGCCTTCTTGCTGCTCGGCGAGAAGTCCATCGCCACGCCGATCCTCCGCTCCGCCATGGTGGTACCGCTCAGCTGCAGACGTTCGAATTCCTCCTAATCGCGGTCTCGTCGTCCGCTAGATTTTTACTTTGGCATCGATCTCCCGTGACAAACTTGTGATTTCGTTGGTCTGCTTCTTTGGAGGGCCAAGAAGAAATACTTCCCTGCAATCAATTCATGGCTAGAGCAAGTTGTTTAATAGCTTTGATTTTCTTTGTTTCTTTCTTTGTTTCTTGAACCTCTCCTGGCTGTTTGTAATGCTTTTGTTCCTGCCTTCCTTTCATGTTTTGAACTCCTGTGCAACTGGTTTGGTTGCTGTTTAATAATTTTTTCAGCAGAGCCTCCTGAGCCTCTCCTGTTTCCTCAAAAAAGAAAAACTTGTGGTTTCGTGGAGTGCGTGCGCCCGGCCAAACGCGCGGCTTTTCCCTTTGACTTGCCCTTTATGATGAGCTAATTTTTTCAGTAGAGCCTCCTGAGCGCGTTTCGTGGTTTCGTGGAGTGCGTGCGCCCGGTCGCGGCTCGCCACTCACGAGAGCGCGAGAGCGCGAACGCCTGACGTGGCGAGGGCGAACTGGCCTGCCCCCTGCCCTGCAGGCTGCAGCGCCGCGCACAGGGGCGGGTGGGTCGGATGGGAGTTGGGTAAGGAGGGGCGCGTCCACGGGGAAATACGCTTGGATTGGACCCGGCCCATAGGCCTACATACCTAGTGGCCCAAGAGCAACTGCGCTTATCGTCTCCGTGGCAATGCGATCGTGCGTGGTGATCAATTGGCACGGGTTGTTGGAATTGATCCAACCCTAATCCGGGCCTTTGCGTTCTCTCAAAAAAAATCCGGGACTTTGCTCGCCGCCGCCGCTCCCGCTCCCAGCAGGTACGTTGCCCGATAGGCTTTTTCCCTCCGATCTCATAGTTTGTTGGGTTTTTTTTTATTGACGCCACTACAATTTTTCAATTTACTTTGATGTTATATAATATGTGTCCCTCTGTGTATGGTAATACGGTACAAGTGAGTGCTGGATCATGATTCTTGTCTTACATGTTTAGTACTAGCATATCCAATGTTATTTCTTGTTTGGCATATGTTCTTCTGTTCACCATACCATTTGGCGGCCAGACATACGTACATATCCGAAGATTAAAACTTACCGCATTTTTCCCACACAGATTGTCGTCTGATGTCTAGTCCTTCGCAGGTTCGACGAGAGCAACCAAGTCAGATTCGACAACAACCACCAAGAACATCGAGGCCTGCTGACAGTCTCCGATACTGAGGTCGTTGGCCTCACAGCAAGCGAGGCTAAGAGGAGGATCGAACGATATTGCCCGGGACTCTACCGTGAGGTCGTCTCTGTGAACCAATTGCTAACCATGTGTTACTGCTCACTTGCTCAGGACGCGTTCGGCTCTTGGTGGATAGAAACGGCATGGTTGTTAAAACTCCTCGCGTTGGTTAGGCCAGTCAAATTTGGGCTTGGTTTTGTTACCATCAGACTAGCTGCCACTACTGTTCTTACGATCGGTTTTACTATGCGCGTTCATAGACCTTAATGCTGGTTCAGATTACAGTTCCTACTTGAATGCACAAAGTTTTCCTTGATTTTGATTGCGTGTCCAGTCTCAATTCTTAGTGGGATTGTAATTGGTTTTTATGTAGGGTGATTAGTTTTCTGAATCTGGTGCTCTGTTGTGTGGCCGAAAATCTTATGGATTTTGCTTGAGATGTAGCACAATTCCATTCCGTTCAATTTTAGTCTGCGGTAGTATATTAGCTCAAAAATAAGCTCACCGGACTGAACCAGCAGTACTACAGTAAAGCCCAACCCATCACAAGTCTGCGATAGTATTCGTGGCCCGGCCTACCTAAGATTCTGTAGTGCATTCTAAGAGTCGGGCTGGTGCCTAACAAGACCCAACCACACCATTATCGGGCTCGAAAGTTGCTCCCCTTTGCGCAACAAACCTCTGAATTCCTGACAAAAGCCAGGAAGCAGGTACCAGTCCGCTCAAACAGCCAGAAGGGAGGGTCATCTTCCTTTTCTTGAGCAAATCAGGAGGGACCGAAGCCCCTGCACCTTCCTCGGTGACGCTCCCGGCATATGGCAATTGACAAGAGATAAACACGTCCCAATCAGGGCTAGACAGTAGACACACTCGTGCGCCTGCCTCAGCTGTTCAACAAGCAAAGCATCTAAGCGCTGATATAAGTGTAATAGGAGAGCCGTCCCACTCGTGTTTGTTTCTGGTCAGCTCCAACGGTCGCTCGCCGCCGCTACTTCACCATCTCTCCAGCGGTTTCGGTGGCTCAAGTCTCCGGCCATCGTCAGTCGTCACGTCACGCACGCACGTCCAAGTCTTCGGATGGAGAGACCGTACCTGTTCCATCTGCTGCTGGTGGTAAGCGATTTGTGTGCACTAGGTACGGCTAGCCTGCAACTCGGACGCCCTTGTCCGGCGAAAATCATTCGGGCTCGTCGTCGCCGGGTGGTCACCGGTTAGGTCGCCGGAAGAAAAAAAAAACGCCGCACCAAACGCATTGGCATCTCTCGCTTTCGCCTCGCAGCAACTCAACTGAAACGGCGAACCATTAACCGGCAGTGAGACCTCTCTAGATGTCTATAACCGAAGATTATTCGTCGTGACAGTTCAGAACGACAGCAGGATACGCAACACCTCGTGTCTTATCGAACAGGCCGAGATCGAGTGCGTCCAATAATGGTTTGGTGTACTACGTCAGATGGAAAATTAAGGGGTTAAGGTTTACCACAGGTACCGTGCGCTCTTCTGTTCTGGTTGATTTGGTGGGATTAGGGCCTGATTGCGGAGCAAGTCGGCGTTAGTGGTTCCCGTGAGCTGCTCGGCCGGGCAAAACTTCCCGTCGTCGAATGCCCAACTGCACGTACAATGGAGGTACGGTGTGCGCAGCCGCAGGTGCAAGCAACGGCATGGTGGATGGGCAGTACTCCCTGGCCGCCCTTGCCGGATTACATACTCTGTCAGTCTATGATGGAGGTTTGGACTTGAGATTAAGACTTGGATTGCACTTCACATCACCTTCGAGAAAAGGGCGCGCGCGGTCCGGCTTTTTCAGAACAGCTCCGTTGCGTGTACCACGACGTCCTGAAACCAGCAAAGCAACTTGGCGAATTTGTTGGTGCGCTTTAGGTCCTGCTATTTTCTCACGACAAGCAATCCCGGACAGTTACTGCCGTGGTATCAAGCGGGTAGACCTGGGTACCGATCCTACCAATCGTACCGGCCTATCAGATAAGATAAGAGGCCTCGGCCACCAGAGGTTTTGCTCGGCTCCAGTTGGGGATTGATTTGGTCTACGGCAGATGTGACCGTGATCGCCCCTGCCATTGAGCAACGGCTTTGCCTGATTCTACTCTTATTATTAAAAGCAAGCCAGTAGAATGTGAGCAGGGTCTTCCGTGATTCTATCTAATTATTGCCTGTAGCGACTTCTTCCACTCGTTTACGTGCTCGTGCTCTGAGCTCTACCCAACCCTAAACAGTAAACCCTCATTTCGAACTTGCTATATGCCCGGAAGTTGTCGCGCAGATTGTAATAATAACAATCAATTGAAACTTTATTCTAAACATGAGTCAGCTGTATAGTCTAGTTTAATCCAGAGGATCTTACTGCAGACGTCAATAGTGGTATTGGGAAAATGGTATGAATGGCAAAACGCTCATATCATATTATATTGGAAAGCATGCTATTCAGCTCCACTCGATATATTCACTGTTCATTAGAGCTATTTTTCTCTCTCTTTCCTCTCTCCCTCTCACATAGCTAGGTGATGCTAAAATTTTCGACTTCATCTGCTCCTACTGGCGAGAGAGAGAGGGGGGGAAGAGACAGAAGAATAACAGGCCCTAATGCTAACGTAGCACATCACAGGATAGTCTGCTGCTGCTGCGAGGCAGAGACAATTTTTTGACTCTGTCATCGCATAGAAGTATTCTGCCCTTTTTAGTTGGAGAAATTTAGATTTTGGGACTACTGTAGTATGTTCGTTTTTTTTTTTACAAATAGTGTTCAAACATGGATTAATTAGGCTCAAAACGTTCGTCTCGTAATTTCCCACTAAACTGTGCAATTAGTTTTTCTTTTCGTCTACATTTAATGATCCATGCATGGGCCGCAAATATTCGATGTGACAGGTACTGTAGCAACTTTTTAGAAGTTGGGGTAGAAATAAACAAGGGCTCTGATTGCCACTCAAGGCTCCGTTTCAACGACGCTGACACTGTGCTCTACGGCGCTGACGTACCGAGTGTCTAGGACGACAGGGCTAACTGCGGCCCACCGTACGTACCTCAGTTGGGCTGATTATCCTGTTCGGCTGGCTGAAAAAAATAGCTGCCGCTGCTGATGATGCTAATCTGTTGTGTTGTTCCATGGCTAAAAAGAAGTAGGATGATGCTAATCTGTTGTGTTGTTCCATGTCTAAAAAAGTAGTGATAAGTTCAAGCAAACAGACGTTTGTCTTTATAATCGGCTGGATCCACTGTCTAGGCCGACGCTGACGCTCTAAAATTTTTTAGCAAAGCTCGCTGGTCACGGCTGCACGTCACTGAGACAGTGATTCGAATTACTGGTTCAACTTGATCCGGTCTAATTCAGTTTCTGTGTCCATCTCGAATACAGTACAGCAGTCTTTAACAATAGTAGTTGTAGATCCATGACCGTACTAGAATTCTGAGATGCATTGGTTTATATTATTAGTCTGCAGTTCTGCTTCTGCTTCCGCACCTGTGGAGCTGAAGCTCGAACGCTGGAGGCCTGGTCGCCTGGAACATGGAGCAGTCAACATTGAGCAGCGCTGTGCGTGCA